AGTGAGTAGCTTACCTAGAAATCAGAAAGGCTTTTGCTGTGAGAACTGATCCTAACTGAGTTCAGAAAAGGTTTCCAAAAATTGTCCTCATCATATTTGACTTACGGAGGGAAAAACCTCTGACATTTACTTGGGTTGTTTTGGAAAGGGCTTGCCTGTGAACATCAGTTGCAAGTAAATTTAGACTTGGTTCATTGAATAAAAAAACTTACTAACAAACACGTTGGAAGACACCTCCATATAGAATGGCAAAGCACCTAAATAAAGAATGACAAGTTACATTTGGGAACAAAGGTCAATTGTCTGCATAGAATCATGGGTTGGATATTACATGCCTCTCCTGGGAATGATTCTGGTAGGCGGACACATAATATAGATATTTTCTAATAATGACATAAGAAATAGGAGCAGGAGTAGGCCATCTGGCCCATCAAGCCTCCTTCACCATTCTTTTTGTGGACTCAGCTCCACCTACCCACATGCTCACCATAACCCTTAATTCCTTTACTGTTCAAAAATCTATCTATCTTTGCCTTAAATGCATTCAACAAGGTAGCCTCAGCTGCTTCACTGGGCAGGAAATTCCACAGATTCACAACGTTTTGGGTGAAGAAGGTCCTCCTCAATTCAGTCCTAAATCTGTTCCCCCTAATTTTGAGGCTATGTCTCCTAGTTCTACTTTCACCTTCAAGTGAATACAACCTTTCTGCTTCTATCCTACCTATTGCTTTCGTAATTTTATATGTTTCTATAAGACCGCTCTCATTCTTCTAAATTCCAGTGATGTTATCACACATCTCTGGAGTAAATGGGAGCTGAACCTAGGCCTCTTGGCTCAGAGGTAGGGACAATATCACAGTGCCATTACAAACTGATGTCAATTTTAAACTTTTCACACAATGATATAATTGGTATGGGCGTATGGGCAACTTTTTCTTAAAGAAATTTATAAAGCAGTTGGAATGAAGAGCGTATTAATGTCATTAAGACGTTCTGTTTGAGCATCAAAGGCACTCCCTTTGAATCCCTTTGTACCCCCCATTTCCTTCCTACCCACCTTCCATGGAAAAGTATTCCCTGGTCTGCAGCTCAACATCATCTCTCCAAGTTTTATTGTTCCTTCCTGGCCCAAAACACCAGACTTATCTCAACCTGATTCCATGCTGTCTTCTTCATCAGCCTGAGTGCAATATCAGAATGACCCACAACTGTGCTCATGGTACTGCCAGTACTACTAGAGGTGGCGGTCAATCACCTTTGTGAGGCGTAGTATTCAGAAATTTAGCCCACCCACGGCACGCTATGGCTGTGAAGCCCAGACATAGTAAGAACTGCCGATGCTGGAGTCAGAGATAATACAGTATGGAGCTGGAGGAACACAACAAGCCAGGCAGCATCAGAGGAGCAGGAAAGTTGATGTTTCGGGTCAAGACCCTTCTTCAGAAATCTGAAGAAGGGTCCTGATCTGAAACGTCAACTTTCCTGCTCCTCTGATGCTGCTTGGCCTGCTGTGCTCCTCCAGCTCCACACTGTGTTATCTCTTCTGGCTGTGAAGCTGATGTCTTTCCGACCTATTCTGGTTGTGGGGGTGAGTTTGCTCCAAACTCTGACACTCTCCTCCCTGCCCCATTAATCTTCCACAACAGCATATGACAAGTGCCTTGTATAGATTTGGCAAGACTAATTTTATTCTCCATTCCCTTTGAAATAAAGGCCAATATTCCATCTGCCTTCCTATTACACTGATCTCGTATGCTAGTTTTTTGTGGTTTCAGGAAGGTGTAATAATATTCTTGGGCTGTCAAAATGAAATACAAATGAAGCACATGGATTCCATTTACTTGAAAATCTCTGGATGTTTAGTTATACCTAAACTATTATATACTTTGCGGAGTAATCTCCAGACCCAATCTACGCTTCACTTGCTACAAAGCAGAGAGGCTGTGGTCATGCGATAGCATATGGGTACTTGGCCTACTTGCATCCTGTGCCAATAAGGGGACATCACTCCAAAAATGATAATACAACAGAGGTAGGGAGAGAAAACTAAGAGTAAAATGGTAGTGTTGGGAAACTACAGGCTAGGAATTCAACTGAATATAGCTTTTTAAACTCTGCTTTTTTTTTAGGTGAAGTCAAATAAAAAGGAGTGACACAGTGATGGGATATTTAATTCCAAAAGTCTTGTGACAATATGACCGATGGTCTTGTAAAAGTACTAATGGGCCTGTGTCAAGATAGTAGATATTGTTATCAATGCTCGTCTGTTCAAGTAAAATCACTTCATGAATTGATAAGAGAGTGAGAAGCATGAGTAATAATCATCACCATTGTGACTTGCATATGAATGGAATGAAAAGATTTCCATTACCAATTCACTTTAGCTAGCACTAACCAGAGGGACATATCACTTCCAAAACAAAAGCAACCCATATACAGTGTATTTTTCCAAAGCACTTTACAGGAATGTTGTAAGCAAAATTTGACAAGACATTCTCTTTCCCCATTCCTTCATCTAAACTACTTGTAGTTAAAGCATGGATATATAAATTAACATGAACTGAAGCCCATGTGCACAGAGGTCATATGTATTTTCTGATAAATTTAATTGACAAACTATAAGCATTTAAGTGCACTCATATTGTAGTTATGGATTCTTGTGTGATCACTGTTATTAAGTTCGTGGAATGTATCATAGAATCCCTACAGTATGGAAACAGGCCCTTTGGCCCAACAAGTCCATGCTTGGAGCATCCCACCCAGACCTATCCCCCTATGACTCACCTAATCTGCACATCCCTGAACACTATGGGCAATTTACCATGGCCAATCCACCTAGCCTATACATCTTTGGACTGTGGGAGGTAACTGGAGCACACAGACATGGGGAGAATATGCAAACTCCACACAGACAGTCACCCAAGGATAGAATTGAACCCAGGTCTCTGGTGCTATCAGGCAGCAGTGCGAGCCACTGAGCCACTGGGCCACCCCTCCTATAAATACTGCTAGAAAAGTAAACTAATACACAATAAAACTCTTGTATAAAATATTATTGAAACAAATGTAAATTAGACTAAGGTTCCAGCTGGCCTTGTGGTGTCAGGTGACTGTTACAAATCCAATAACATTCAGTCTTTAACTACATTGTTGTCTTAAACTCACTGTCAATTATTTACCATTTGCTATGAAATAACTTCTTAAGGACAAATGAAGCATTAAACCCAGTTAATTTGCTATACTGTCCAACCTCTCAGAATGGTCATTTAAAAACTCTGTAATCCCTACTGAGTTATTACTCAACTAGGTCTATAAACTAAACACATCTTCATGAAATCAGTGATCATTCTTATCCATCTTAATTACATATCTGTTTCTAGTCTGTGTCAATTGGAGAGACTGTAGTATTATCCATGCCACCTTCAAACTTTTGGAGAGGATCGAGGCAAAAATAAAAAAAGATGGAGGCCCAATTTCAGATTTGTGTCCTTTTCCTATTCCTTGCATCTGGAAACTTAATATTACCAATGCATATTGAAGAGAAATATCAACAACAAAAGCTTCCATTTACGCATTACTTTTATCTTTCTCTTTATGCAATGTCCCTGGTGTCCAAGTCTTGTTGATCATAGCCTGTGCCATGGTATAATTATGGACAAAAACACAAAATGCAGGCCTCAAGCACCACCGCAGATGCTATAAGGATTAAATTTGTTTTATTGCACTGTGATGCACCATATTCTAAGCAGCCAACCAACATGAGTGGCCTTCGTAATACTTTCCAAATATTAAAGAATTCTTGCAGCAGCTCTGTAGATGTGTGAAGGAAGAAAGACAGACAGGACACTGTCTTTGTAGTCAATGAAGTAATTTTCAACTATAAATGCAGGCTTGGTTAGCTCAATTGGCTGGACAGCTGGTTTGTGACACAGTGTAAAGCTAACAGCATGGGTTCAATTCCCACATTGGCTGAAGTTATCATGAAAGACTCTCTGTTTCAACTTCCCCCCTAACTTGGGGTGTGGTGACCCTCAGGTTAAACCCCCACCATTCATCTCTCTCTTGAATTAGACAGCAGCCTATGGTTTGGTAAAAGTATGGTGATTTTATCTTTATCTTGCTTTGGCATGAGGGACACAGTAGCCCAACATGATTGCAATGACAGCAATCCAATAATGTTGATGTTGACGAAGGGATAAATATTGGCCACTGCACCAGGAATAACCTGCTACTCTTGTTCAATACAGTGCTGTGCAGACTTTTATGCATGTCAGAAAGGTAAGATGGGGTGTCATTTTATTGTCTCAACCAAAAGACTGCACATCTGACAATGCAGTTTTCCTTTATTACTGCACTGGAATGTTACTTTAGATTTTTGTGCACAAACGTGGAGTGGAACTTGAGCTCAGAACCTTGACATCTGACATTATTAAGAGGTTTAAGGAGGAAATTCCAGACCTTGGAGCCAAGACAACTGACGAAACAGCTGCCAATAATGGCTTAAGGAATTGGAGATGGAACAAAAGGCTAAAATTAGAGGAAAGCTTATTTATCATAGAATTGTAAGGCTGGTTGAGGTAACAGCCAGTGTGAGGCCATGAGCAATTTGATGAAACTTGAAAAGAGAAGCAAGTATTTTTGACTGAAGTAGCAGGAGTATAAGTCAATGTTCCTGGACAGTTGTCAAGACTTTGATTAAATCCAAGCGATAGCTCAGTTCTCACAGGATCACATCAACACTTCTCTCATAGGCCCAAGTATCTAAATTAAAAATGACTGAGGAAAAATCAGTTATAGCGCAGGATAAAACATCTTTGCATTTAAGTTTGAATTTTAGACTTAATCCAATGACAACCAATGGCATGCAAGTCAGTTGTCTCTGCAAGCTGTGTTATCCCAAACTTGAATTACTACCTATTTAGATTTCAGCAAAATAACTGAGCAAAAGCCATAGCATTGTAATGGGCACTCATCTTGAATAAAAGCAGCATTATACATACCAGAAAACAGACCATGGCTGGAATAGTTTGTCCATTACCAAAGCCTGGAATAAAAGGAATAAAAATAATCTTTGAAATCCATCATATAATTGTCAGGGACACAATAATGATATCAATTATATAAGTAAACAGGACTGCTAATGCAAAACGAAACTTTCCTGTTTCTAAACAAAGATAGCTCCTATTTAAATTACTGTACAGGACTTTCAATGAGATCTGATATAAAGAAAAGTTCCTGACATTTTCAAACTGACATTTTCAAACAGAAAATATCTGCCAAAAAGAAGAGATTTTGTGTTGATTTTGAAATTGATGATATATTTGTGCAAATGATGAACAGAACTAAAAAGGCATTGCTGTAATGTTGAATAAAGAAACAGCAAGTTCAGACAAGGTGCAATTGCACAGTTCAAGGCTGATAGCCAAAACCTATTGGCTGAATTGTGTCACGCCAATGTTAGCCTCATAGAAACTACATTTTACAGCTTGGCTTCCTTTTAAAATGCATTGATTGCTGTGAAATTGCTGGGTGGAGATTCAAAAATGCTGACCAAATCACACGGCCAAGATGAACTAAGCATACTGACTACAGAAAATTAAATTTTGTTAGTTCAAGTCAAAGCACCATTTTAAGATAACATAAGTGTAATTGATGCCAGTAAACTGTTTTGACATTGGAAATTAACTTTTTGAAGTGTGAAATCTCATTCCTTCAGCATTTAATTGTTGAAGATATTCAGTTTAAAATAATCGTTCTTATCTCATTTCTTTCTCTCTCAATTGAAACTTTCTCTATTTTTGTGTATGTGGTTTAGCATGAGTTCATCCCACTGAAACATACATTTCTCTCTCAGGCCTCTCATTGTACCTGTTACAATCTTTCAAACATAATTGGTTAACAGAATACTTTGTTACCTGCCCTGTACACACAAATTCTAAATGCTTTGCAGGCAATTTTGACCAACTTGTCAAGGAAAATCGTTATGCCCATCCAATACTACTTGTTGATTTTGATGGAAAGTAATATTGGGTGGTTGGCAGATTAGATGAAACTTACCCCATTGAGCATAAGAACGAACAGCAGGAGTGGGCAACTCAGCCTCTCGACCCTGCTCTGCCATTTAATGCATGATGTGGAGGTGCCGGTGTTGGACTGGGGTGGACAAAGTCAGAAGTTACACGACACCGCGTTATAGTCTAACAGGTTTATTTGAAATCACAAGCTTTCAGAGCGCTGCTCCTTTGTCAGGCTCACCCGACAATGGAGCAGC